ATTTTCAATAAGTAATTCTTTTGAGAAAGCTAAACCTTCCTATTTTTTCTGTCTCTGTGAATTTGCATCCCTAAAATCTTATTTGTTGGTCCCAAGTCCTTCATGTCAAACTCCCTAGCCAATTGTGTCTTTAACTCTTGGATTCGATCTATGTTGGGGCCTACTACCAATATGTCATCTACATACAATAACAAGATAACAAAATCATTATCACCAAACCTATTGTAGTATGTACAATGGTCTAAGCTCAGTCTATTGTAATCAAGGCAAATAATGAATGAATCAAATCTCTTATACCAACATCTGAGCGCCTACTTTATACCGTATAGAGATTTGGTCAACCTGCAAACCAAGTTTTCCTGTTCTTTAAAGCCTTCTGGTTGGAGCATATAAATTTTCTCTTCAAGATCTCCATGAAGAAAAACAGTCTTTACATTCAATTGTTCAAGATGTAAATCACATGCAGCACACATAGTCAGGACAACTCTGATGGACGTCAATCTGGCAACCGGCGAGAATATCTCATTGAAATCAATATCTTTTTTCTTAGCATATCTCTTTACCACCAATCTAGCACGATATCTTTCTACTTGATCATTATCATCTCTCTTGATCTTATAGACCCATTTGCAACCAATGTCTCTTCAACCTTTCAGAAGTTCCACAAGATTCCATGTCTTGTTTTTATGAAGAGCCTCCATTTCTTCCTGCATTGCAGTCATCTACAGAGAAGCATCTGAACAATTCATAGCCTCTTGAAAAGTTGAAGGTTCTCCTTCTTCATTTAGAAGACAATACGCATCATGACTTGCCATCACATATTGTGAATGTCAAGATGGTTTGACTTTTTCTCGTGTTGATCGCCGAAGATCTCCATTACCAACCTCATTAAAATCAAAATTTTCAATAAATATAATAATAAGATTATTATTTGTTTGTCAATAATTCAATATATATATATATATATATATTATTTTAATTTAATAATATAAATCAATACATTGTTTTAAGAAATTATAATTTAGAACAATAATAAAATTTACATAATAATAAATAATAACAAATATATATATATATATATATATATATATAACGTTAAAACTTATAAAATTTATATTTTTTATATTTAAAAATTCAAATACCTATATTTTTTTTATTTGATAAAACTTCACATTATTCTTAGTTAAGTAATTCTTACATCTTTAATTCAAGTCATAAGGATAAAAATAATTAGTTCTTAGGATGAACAAGGAGAACATGAGAGAGAATGTTGTGTTTCGAGTAAGGAGAATATTTTTTGTGAGAGTGAAACTTTTTTAATTCTTTTTTAAAAGTTTTAACTTTATATATTATCTTTATAATTAACTTTATTACAATAAAAAAATATTTTTTTATTAATTAGGCGGGTCGCGAGTTGGTCCGCCCGTCTCGCGGGTTGGCCCAGCGGGTTGGCAGGCTTGGTGGGGCGGGCCAAAGCGGGCTGGTGGGTTGAAAATACCAATCTGCCTCGCCATATTATGGCGGGCCGGTCCGCCGGACCTGATCCGTTTTGTCATCCCTATCTTTGTGATCCTCTTCTGACTCAGACGAGTCATCTGAAGACTTCTTCTCTATCTATACTACAACCTTGTCCTTTATCAAGCTGTCATTTGTCTGCTCACTTTGCAGTTCATTTTCTGCAAAGACTACATCTCTGCTAACAACAACCTTGTGGGAAGTGGGGTCCCATAGACGATACCCCTTCACATTGTCAGCATAACCTAAGAAGATACATTTTTTGGATTTTGGATCAAATTTTGTTCTTTCTTGAGTGTTGTACATCATGTACACAAGACAACCAAAAACACGTAAGGATGAATAATCAACTGGTTTACCTTTCCATAACTCCATTGGTGTGCTCAAACCAATGGCGGTTGACGGTGATCGATTTATAACATAACAGACAGTTTTAACCGCTTTTGCCCAAAAAGACTTGGTTACTCCAGTTGTTCGCAACATAGCTCTAGTTCTTTTCAGGAGAGTTCTATTCATCCGCTCTGCTATACCATTTTGCTGAGACGTATGTGAGACAAAAAATTGACTGGTGATATCCTCTTGCTTGCAAAATGCTAAAAATTCTCCGTCTACATATTCTCCTTCGTTATCTGTCCTCAAACACTTAATTCTTTTCTTAGTTTCAAGTTCTACTTGTGCTTTGAATTCCTTGAACTGTGAAAACACATCTGACTTCTTCTTGATAGGGCATACCCACAATTTCCTAGAGTAATCATCGATGAACAATACAAAATATTTTGCTCCTCCAAGGGATAGTACCAGCGATTTCCACACATAAGAATGAATCAAGTCCAATATGTGTTTACTTTTAGCAATCACTCTAGCAAAATTCAATTTATGTTGTTTACTTATCACACAGTGCTCACAGAATGGTAAGTTAACCTCTTTAAGCCCAGGTAAGAGATTACGTTCTGCAAGGATTTTTAGACCATGTTCTGACATATAACCAAGTCTATGATGTCACATGATCACTGCATTTTTCTGACTTGTTGCCGCAACTAATGCATCCACTTCTTTCAACATATCTCCAAGCAGCACATACAAATTTGCCAAAATCTTCTTTGCCCTTCATAACCACCAAATTCCCCTTCATCACCTTCAAGTAAAAGCTCTGCACGCTTATTTTCAACTATATTGAAATATGTCGTTGATAGTTGGACAAATAAGGTATTTAAATGGTTGATGTGGTTCGTCACTTATGTGAACTCACTCATCTGAAGAATATAGAGTTTTCTCTTCAAGAATATTCTTGTGTGAAGTGATTTCGCCTCATATAGTTTAATGAGGGTATCTCAAATCTCCTTCGCAGTAGTCTTCTCCGCAACACTAGATAAAACTGAATCTACCATTGATAAGTGCAAATTCGCAATAGCATTGTCGTTCATTTCATTTCTTTCCATCGTCGTTCATCCGTATGTTCCACGATTCTTTTCGCAATTGCATCAATACAATTTCTTCAAATTTGACTTTATCTTCAATTTCCACAATGAGAAATTACTCTCATTGAGCTTCTCTATCTCATCTTTATTGTCACGGTTCCAAAACTGACTTATGCAATCTTTACTATGAATAATATTGCCTACTGGAACAACAACGGTAGACCGTGAATTAGTACATCAGGTAAGTTCCCAGGAAAGAGAGGTGGTTCACTAATGGACACGCTTAAATACCAAGTCTTTCCTTGCTAGAACTTTTCCTAGACATACATTATCGCACTACCAAATAATATCCAATAATAAGAATAACTCTTTTTTTATGTGGAAGATCAGATTAACCGCAACCACAGAGCATACTAAGAATTTCTCCAACACTATTCTAATGACTATGCAGCAGAAGACCAATATCACAATCTATCAGACAAAAGCATAATCATACACAACTAAAATAAAAAGATGAGAAAAAACACCGACAATAGGCAAAAGAGTAATTTCACTAATGAAAGATATTACAATCTTTCTATCTCTACCTCCAAGGAGGAAATAATAACACCCTCTCCTGAAAATAAAGGAAAAACAACTCTAAGAGAACCTAAAAGGAGAAACTATTTTTCTCTCTTAATTTATCTCTCAAGTACTAAAGCAGCAAGAGAAAGAAAAGAAAGTGATTTTGGTGCATCTTACAAAGTAAATATTGTGCTCCTTTTATAGTAAGAAAAGGAAACACCAAATTAAGATTTTCCTTATGTGGGACTTTTCTTCTCACATTGTTTCGTTGTGTCCTCTACCTAGTTCATCGTATCATCGTCGTGTCCTTCGATATCTATGGTGTCCTCTATCGCATCCTTAGACCTCCATTATCGCAGTCTCATACCCTTCGTCATATCCTCGTGGTTCCATTGTGTTCTTTGTAATGTCCTCCTTTGTGTCCTCATGACCTCCATCATGTTTTCTATCACATCCTCCATTACGTTCTCTCGCCCTTTGCGTCTATGTACCCTTGTTCTCCACCTACCATTTGTCATTCTCTTCTTGTAATGTCATTATCCATTATTATTTCATTGTTGTAGTTTCATCCTTTATCAGTGTCTTGTCCTTCTATGTGTGTTGTTCTACGTATTGTTGTTTGTTACTATTGTTATTTAAATATTTATTTTTAAATTATTAAAAAATTTAAATTATATATTATTTGAGATTTTTTTATAATTATTTGAAACCGTTATATATTTGTTTGACACTTTTTTATGTTTGTTTTTAACCAATTTTATTTAGGATGAAAAATATTATAAAACAACAAACATTAAAAAAAAAAAAATCAACTTTCAACATCAATTCCTTTGTAAATGATGCTTTAAGTTTTAACGACGTATCTTTTGATGACGGTTCTCGAACGATATTGTATATATCCTAAACCAATATTAAATGTTGAATATAAAAGAAAAATTGGGAAAAGTTCTTGTAATTATCGTAGAAGAGGTTGAATTATTATTATTATTATTATTATTCCATAGTTACCCTTTTACTGTGTAAGTTTCTTCCTTAATTAAAAATTTCCCATCTTATTTTAATATAATATAATTTGGTTCAAACAAAACTGTCATTTGCTTTTTTTCGCTGCTTCCTAGCTTGTTCACATAGGCAACATATCCAGTGGCTAGTGGTTACCCATTCAGTACCTCATGAATTGTAAACAAATGCCAACATTTGATCAAATTGCATTAGTTAAATGCCACTTGCATTGCAGCCACCAAAAAGCGTGGAAAATTTCCCACTCGACTTAAACTGGGTATTGTTATTATCACACTACACGCTTTTAATTTAATTAGACCAAGCAAAACTTCACGAGGCATCTCACTCAAAGTAGACCTATAAATACATTTACTTCTCCTCAATTTCTCTCCACCTCTTCTTCAATCAATAGTCAACAAAATATATATAAGTACAACACAACTCTCTTGCTTGTCTTGTCTTTTCCTTGAGTTACAACTTTCAATCAAAGCAATAACAACAATGGATACTACACCACGCTTCTTGCTTCAAATGGTTTCTACTTTGCCTCTGATTCTATGTATTTCATCATTGGCCTCAGCATTTCTGGAAGTGGGTTTCTATAGCTCCACATGCCCATCTGCTGAGGCAATAGTGAAAAGCACGGTAGAAAAAGCAATATCTGCCAACCCAGGCATTGCAGCTGGTATCATTAGAATCCATTTCCACGATTGCTTTGTCAGGGTAAGTTCACTTAACAGTGTTTATATGAACAAGCTTATTCAACAAACGCTAAAATATATCAATTTCTGATTCTGAAATTGCTTTGTCCTCCACTTATGTACGTTCAGGGCTGTGATGGTTCTGTGTTACTAGCATCTACACCGGGTAACCCAACAGCTGAACGAGACAATTTCATCAACAATCCAAGCTTACGTGGGTTCGAGGTGATTGAGGAGGCCAAGATCCAATTGGAAGCTGCATGCCCTAATACAGTATCGTGTGCTGACATTTTGGCCTTTGCAGCCCGAGACAGTGCTTTCAAAGTTGGTGGCATAAACTACGACGTTCCATCAGGACGCAGAGATGGTCGTGTCTCCATCGGTGATGAAGTGATAGAGAATCTTCCTGGACCAGATTTCAGCGCTGAACAACTTATTACTAACTTTGCACAAAAGGGTTTGTCTGCAGATGAAATGGTCACACTTTCAGGAGCACATTCAATTGGTGTGGCGCATTGTGGTGCCTTCTCAAATCGCTTATATTCTTTCAGTGACACACTCAGACAAGATCCTTCCCTTGACCCTTCATATGCTGAAACGTTGAAAACCAAGTGTCCTCCACCACCTCCAATCCCAGACACCACAGTTTCTCTTGAACATTCCACTCCTATTCGTTTGGACAGCAAATACTACGAGGGGTTGATCAACCACCGTGGCTTGTTGACATCAGATCAGACCTTGTTCGCCACTCAATCCACAAGAGAAATGGTTGAAAGCAATGCATACAATGGTGCAAGTTGGGCTGGGAAGTTTGCCCTAGCAATGGTGCACATGGGTTCCATAGAAGTGCTTACTGGCTCCAATGGTGAAATCAGGAAGCAGTGCAGCTTTGTTAATTAGTTAACTACAACAACACTTTTTAATACATTTCCCTGAAAAATGCTACGTTAATTTGTTCATACATGTGTTTCACTCCATTTATTTGAGATATCATACAAATTAACTCAACTAGTAAAAATGGAGCCATCATTTCCGTTGACAAAACCACTTATTGAGATATCCATCAGGAACATTTCAATTTTGACTTAGTATATTAAACATATAATTTTAGGTAAATGGGGTCCAACATTTTTTTATGTTCCATACGTGTTGTGCTCATCAAAGTTTCTATATTACTTCAAATAAATACTTTAAGAGTGAAAGTTGCAACTAAAATATGTAAAGTATAGAGTTAGAGGCACAATATTTTATTGAAGAGACTAAATATAAAAATTATATTAAATAATAATTAAAATTAACATGCTAAATTTAATCAACAACTAAAAAAGCAATATAATTTATCACGTATTACGAAAATCAGAAATATATAAATTAAACAAAGATACAATCATGTACTTTTGTAGTGATAGAGATTTAGTTTTTAAAAGTCATTATAGAAATTAATGATAAGAAATGCTTATTACATTTAGATATCGTACTTAAAGTTCCAAGAACATATTAACCCTTAGGTTTTGTTGATCAAAATTCAACATTTAACTCTAGAATAATAAGAATGATACATTATTTGCTTCAAATAAAAAATATTTTTTAATTTATTTTGTAAGGATGAATTTGAAGAAAAGAACATAGAGGTCTATTATTAAAAGTGATTTACAATTTTCAAGAAATATACTTATCTCGAGTAATTAGAAAGACATGAAAACAAGAGCACTTGAAAAAAAAAAAGATAAAGATAAAGAAAATGGAAAAGTGATATAAAATTAAAGTAATGAAAGCACTTGAAATTATATTCATCTCATGTTTATATATTTTTTTCTTTTGATTTAGAATAATTAAAGACTTATTATTCATAGTTATATTCTTTTATAATTTAGCTAAATCATATTAACTATTAAATTATAAGAAGATAAAGATGGAAATTAAGAATAAATCTTCAATTTTTATTATATATATATATATATATATATATATATATGTATGTATGTATATATATATAAAGAAGAAAACTTGATTTACTTCAAAAAGTAAAATTTTAAAATTTATTTTTTATTCTCTTAATTAATAGTCTAAATAATAATTTACCTAAATTATTAAATTAAAAATAATAAAAATAAAATTTCATTAAATCTCTAATTTTTATTTTTTTATAAGTAAATCCTATGTTCTATATTATTTTTTGGAACATAAAGTAAATCATAAGCATAAAAACTTGTGAATTTAATAAAAAAAACTTGTAGATTTATTACAACAACTATTTTATTTGTTTAACTTGATCATGATAAAATTTATTCCATATATATATATATATATATATATATATATATATATATATATATATATATATATATATATATATATATATATATATATATATATATATATATATATATCATGTGTTTCATCTTATTTATTATTTTGCTTGGAACCCCAAAATGTGAGAAACCACGTGTTTCCAAGGAGAACTTTATCCACTTGACTCTCTTGAACCCGTCTATGCCCAACGCCACTAGACACTGAAAAGTTTGAAGAAAAGAAAGAGAAAGGAGCAACCTACAGCGGCCAGTGGTTATCAAAATGTGAACACTTTTAGTCAAATTGTAGTAGTTAAATGCAACATGCAGATAGATTCAGCCACCAAAACCAAGAAATATTCTCCATGGACTCAGTTAATCAACCTGATATTGCCGTCACCCTTTAACTATACTTTTTATTCTTTTGTTTTCTTAATTTTCCTACAATCAAAACATTAAAATAAAAAACAAAGTGAGGCTGAACAAGAGAAGAGTTCAACCGCAGACGTGACTACTTCAATTCAACTGCTGCCTATTTCATGCATAACACGCGTTCTAATTCTTTGCCAAATCAATACTTCGATACTCATTCAATCACCACTTTCAAAACCAACCTATAAATACACTCCCTTCACCTCTCTTTCTCTCCACCTCCTCCTTAATAGCTATATTCAAGAAAATATATACCAACACAACTTTGTCTTCTCCTTAACTTGCAACTTTCAGACATATATTCTGCTAATTAATCTTCTCCATCGCTTCCTACTGCCGTTTTTCAATGGATATCAACACTCCACGCTTCCATCAAATGATTTCAACTTTCCTTCTCATTCTCGTTTCTGTTTCACGGTTCGCCTCAGCGTCTCTCAAAGTGGGTTTCTACATCTCTGCATGTCCTTCCGCAGAGGAAATAGTGAGAAGTGCTGTAAACAAAGCCATTTCTGAAAACCCAGGCATAGCTGCTGGTCTCATTAGGATGCATTTCCACGACTGCTTTGTCAGGGTATATTTCACTTCACTTCACTTCAGTTCACTGATCGCTTCCTTTATTCAAATATTTTCACTTTCTGATCATTACATATGAAAGACTCTAAATTTAATTGCTATTTTTGTTCAGGGCTGTGATGGGTCTGTGTTACTATCATCTACCCCGGGGAACCCAATAGCCGAGAGGGACCATTTTGCCAACAACCCAAGCTTACGTGGCTTCGAGGTGATTGAGGAGGCCAAGACCCAGTTGGAGGCTGCATGTCCTCAAACGGTGTCGTGTGCAGACATATTGGCATTCGCTGCACGAGACAGTGCTCTCAAAGTTGGTGGCATAAACTACGACGTCCCATCAGGACGCAGAGACGGTCGTGTCTCTATCGCCGATGAAGTGGCACAGAATCTGCCTGCACCAACCTTGAGCGCCGATGAACTTGTGAATAGATTCGCACAAAAGGGTTTGTCTGCAGATGAAATGGTCACACTTTCAGGAGCCCATTCGATCGGTGTGTCGCACTGTTCTGCCTTCTCAAAGCGCTTGTACTCTTTCAATGACACGTTCACGCAGGACCCCTCCATGGACTCTTCCTATGCTGAAACCTTGAAAACAAAGTGTCCTGCACCACCTACAACCTCAGACCCAACAGTTTCTCTTGATCCTTCAACTCCTATTCGTTTGGACAGCAAATACTACGAGGGATTGATCAACCACCGTGGCTTGTTCACATCGGATCAGACGCTGTTCACCACTCAGTCCACAAGGGAAATGGTTTTGAACAATGCAAACAACGGTGCAAGTTGGTCTGAGAAGTTCTCCAAGGCGATGGTGCAAATGGGTTCCATACAAGTGCTCACTGGGTCAAATGGTGAGATCAGGAAGCATTGCAGCTTTGTTAATTAACCCATTCACAGCTGCTACACTGATGCTTCTGGAAAACAAAACTCAGCGTCTTTGTTCCTAATTAAATTCTTTTTACATGTTGATATATTCATTTTGGGAAAAAAGGTTGTTGTTGATTATTTCTTTCCTTTGAATTTTGTAAAAGGTGTTTCATTCTGAGTCTAAAAATTCAATTGTAAATTCCTCCATGAGGATTTAATCTGATAAATGTAATTTGTCTTGCAAAATAAACATTTTGATTTATTGATGCTTTACTCAATTTGAAATGCTAAACTAATTTAATACTTTATGGAAAAAAGAACGAAGAAGAAGAAGAATGGGAAGAGATATAGTTAGATGTTGGAGGAAGGAGAGGTGGGAAAAGAAGAGTGGATAATGAAACGTAGGTGCGTGGAGATAGGAAAAGAAGAAAGAAAGAAAGATGCAGAGAGAGAGAGAGAGAGAGAGAGAGAGAGAGAGGGAGGGAGGAGAGTCAGAGGAGTGTGAGCTGTGGAGGGGGGGGGTGAGTAGCGGGGCCCACTGCCCATGTGCCCCTCTTCAGTGTCCACCACCTCCTGTTTCGCACTCAATCATTACTATCTCTCCATATTCACTTCTCTTGCATTCTCAACGTCAAACCCAAACCAAAACCTCTCATTTCTTCCTCTCTCGCGCCGCAACCAAACACGCCCTAATCAAACTCCAACGATCATGTCCAACTCTGACGCAGCCACTAACGCCGTCACCACTATCGACGCTAACGCAATCGTCGACTCGCAACACCGAACTACTACCACCACCACAACCACGCAGGCCACGCCGCTGCCCGTTAAGAAACCGCCCTCCAAGGACCGCCACAGCAAAGTCGACGGTCGCGGACGCCGCATTCGCATGCCGATCATATGTGCGGCGCGCGTGTTCCAGCTCACGCGTGAGCTCGGCCACAAGTCCGACGGCCAGACCATCGAGTGGCTCCTCCGCCAGGCCGAGCCTTCCATAATCGCTGCCACCGGCACCGGCACCACTCCGGCCACCTTCTCCACCGTCTCTGACCACAAGCCCCTCCTTCCTCCCCCCACGCCCTTCATCCTCGGCAAGCGCATTCGCCCCGACGACACCGACGCCGTTTCCAAGGATGACGCCGTTTCGCTCGTCGCGCCACCCACGCCGCCAGCACTCTGGGCGCTCCCGCCGCGCCCTGACTTCAGTCAGGTCTGGAGCTTCGCCGCCGCTGCCGCAGCAGCGCCGCCGGAACTCGTCTCCGTCTCGACTCAGAACTCCATGTTCCATCACCACCACCACCAACACCATCACCAGCAACAACAACAAGCCGCCATGGGAGAAGCCTCCGCTGCGAGGCTCGGAAATTACCTCCCCGGCCACCTCAATTTGCTGGCCTCGTTGTCCGGCGGTCATGGAAATTCCGGCCGGCGAGAGGAGGAGCCGCGTTGAATTGTGAAATTCGTGGTTGATTCGGTTGTGTTGTTCGTAATTCGTATATAGAATAATATATGTATTACGCGTGCGTGTGTTTGAGTTTGTCTTTGGCTCTGTGACTTTGTTGTTGTTGATGCTGATGTTCTTGTTGTGTGGAATGTTTTGGAGAAGGAGAGATTTTTACTTCTTAGTGGAATTTTAGGGTTAGGTTCTCTAATTTTTGGTAGTTTTTGAGTGGAGAAGTCCATGAATTAAGGAATTCAATTGGATTAGGGTTTTCCTAGTTTGGAAAACTGATTTAGGTTACTTGTTAGGAGACGAAGAATTTGTTTAGATCATTGCTCTGGAGGAGAGAGAGGAAAAGAGTATGATGTTGATGATGAGATGACGACATCATGAATAATTAGGGATTGAGGCTGGAAGTGGTTTTCAGAACCTTGATCAAATGCAGATGCAAATGCAAATGCGGACGCAGATGCAAGTGTAATGAAATGAAAATTAATTTAAGCATGTTACTATTGTGGAAAATGTCACATATACACAGTGCTTGCTCTTGCTCCAATAAAGTGAATGAATTAATGAATGAAGGTTAAGCTTCTAGTTGCTTCTGTTTTTCACCTTCATAATGGGTTCAGAATGGGTTTTGAAATTGACTGGCATATCTCTCACATTCCTAATTTGGACAATAAAAGTGTCAAGTATCCATTGATGATTTGCGATGAGTGATTAATTTTATATTTGGCAATCAAGTGTCACTCCTGTTTTCATGGAGTGACCTTCTCTCTTTCCAATATTGATTGAGAATTCATGTCATTGGACACGATTGGTCATTGGTGAACTATGCTGCATTGCTCTCTCCTTCACTTTCACAGTCTTAGTTGTTTTTGAGATTAGGTGTTTTAGAGATCACTGATATCAGACCTGGTTATGCAATGTAATACCTCTGTTTCAGTATTTTTCTCTTAAAGTCTTATCCATTTGTTAGATTGATCAGCTTGACAACAATAATAATGTGTTTTCTAGCATGTAACTGGTTTCCTTGGGGTGTTAGGGAAGTAAATAAAGACCAATCTTTTCATTTATCTGTAACTTCTATTCTTGCCATTTTATCTGTTCTTTTCCTATCGATGCATTATTATGATTATGAAACTCATCCTGCTACTGTGCATTCTAAAATTTCAAACTGAATGTTTACCTGTTATGCTTTCTGATCTTTAAATTGTACTCATGGGTAATTTGAACGTTTGCTTGAATTGAATGTGTTTTAAAATCATTTTTGTTTTGCTGTTATGACCAAGGTATTGGGGTTTTTTCAGTATGTAAAGAAAGATAAGATTAGGTGCATACTGTGTTCAAATCTAACCTACTTAATATGGATACCATTTTTAAGTTTCATTTCATACATGGTTAAAATAAAATAAGAACTTCTGTGATGCATCTGATTCAACCTGGCATAGTCAATCTGGGCTTTCGAGGTGTGGTTTTAAAGCTCTCCACATTAGCTGACAAACATGTGTTGTATTATTGTATCTTATTAATGACTAATTTAAACTGGTCGCAATGTCATTGGCTTTTGTTGCCGTTCCCTTTGAAACAACCATGTGGTGCCCTGGCCCCCCTTTTGCCTTCCTCTCTCCACCTTATCCTCCCAATGAAAACACACACAAAAACACATGATGCTTAATATCTCTTGAAAGATTGATCAATTGAATTATTACTTATTAATTTAGTGGGATCCTTATTTGATTATCATCACATGCTAAAAAACTCATCAGGTAAACTATCATCACATTATTACAAACAAGTGAGATTAGTCTAATTGAATAGGCTTGAGAAAACCTATGAGAAGAAGAAAAAGACTGCATTTCTGCTATTTGCAAAAATTCATTGGTTCAGCTAAACGAAATTAATCTATGAGTGGACCTGTGGAACCCTTGTAGGAAAGGAAAAAACTGAGTCACTTTTCTTCTTACTAACATAAGCAGTGGGTGTATTTTATTTGAATATTCCCCAATTTATGTTTCCCTTGCAAGAAGAAGAACTTGAGGGAAATTGGAAGAAGATGATTGGTATGATGTTTTGATTGTGTCTGTGAAAGAATTTGATATTTGTTTTCTGGGCCCAGGTGAGCTGTGAATATTTGATTGTTACCCCTGTGGTGGTGTGTGAAGGGGAAACCAGAAGATTGAAGAGTACTAAACCAACCCATCTTTTTTAATTAATTTTGTACTTTTCTGCAGATGGATTATTGGTGGGGTATTTAAATTTGCGATGCTGACAGGTTTTTAAATTATTGCTAAACACAATACAGAAGGGCCAGGTTCCAATAATTGATGGGGCCCTCTAATAACATACTGTGTTATGATTTGGCCGATTTTTAAATTTCAAAGATCAAGCTCATTTAGAATGAACATTAACAAGTGTTAGAGAATTTAAGGGATTTTTATTTCATAAGAAAGTATAATATTTAGTATTATCAAAATATTTTTAGTGCAATTTTTAATAGCAGTTTAAGAATAACAACGAACATAATAAAATCTAATGAAATGTATTGTTATGCATGTTATTAAAATGAATTTTAGAATTCAGATTGAATAACAACATCTCTTATAATACTGCACTGAAAAATTGTGATTTTTTAATTAATGTTAAAATTGAAGGATAAATGAGTGTTTGTGTACCCACCACAAACTCTACCTACTACTTTTGAATCATTTGTTCCCCTGAAGTAGAAATATAACCTGTTCAAATCCTATTTTTGTGGGGTCACAAAACGTGGGCTAGTTGGATTGGGCCACTCATGTTTTAAAAAATTTGTCCTTCTTATCAAAATTAGTTTTTGCATGATATTGATGTGATATTAAGACACAGCATAATACTTTTTTGTTCATTAAAAATGCTTCAAATAGACCCTCTCAAGGATCATACAAGGTTCTATTCACCTTTTTTTTTCATATAAATATAAATTAAAATGTTTAATTGTATAAACATGTGCCACAAATGCTAAGACATATTTTGAGTTGTTTGTATACTTCTATTAGGACACGTAAAAATTAGTTTATTTATAATTTAGTTTGTAAAAGTTTTTTTTAAATATGTTTTGAACCTTTAAATGAATTGTGTAAAATTTTGATTCATGCATTCAAAGAAGATAAAAAAACATAATATTAATATTATAATTTATATGAATTGAAAATTAAGAGAGAAGTCACAATAATTACAAAGCATAAATGTAATTAAAATTGTAAATAATTAAAATAAATAATAAAGTAATAGGGATATAGGATTAGAGCAATTTTATTTAACCTATGACTTAATATGATAAAAAATCTTCAATTGGTTTGAGTCGAGTTTATAAATTTTCTACACTAAATTCAATCAAACTCAATTCATATTTTAATTTGACAGAGATGATTGTGTCACAAATTAAAAAAAAAAAACTCTAAAGTTTGTAATTAAAAAAAATTATAACATTTTTTAGAATTAAAAAAGTATAATAGTTACTATTTAAAAAAATATGTTTAGTTAATTGAATAAATTAAATAATAATTATATTATTATTATTATTATTATTAATTATATAATAATTTTGGTTGAGTTGGATTAGGGTGTGTCTAAAGTTTAATATATAAAATTTGTTACTTAAAATTTGGTTGGGTCTTTAATTGAAGTGTAATTTGAAACAATTCTAAATTAGACAACTGCATAAACTAATAAAAAAAATTATTTTTATAATAAACAAGAATATTATTTTTTGTCATATTAGTAATTACGCTTAAAATTTTATTTATACTTTATTATATAATTTATTTATTATAATTAATCATATTAGAATCACATTTTTTTCTTTGTTGTTATTTTTTAAAGTATAATTATTTTTAAGTTTTGAAAAAATAGTCATTAGTTATAAAAAAGTATTGATAAAGTATTTATTAAACAGTGGAATATTAAAGAATAATTTTTTGTTATGTGTACATTAAAATGAGAGCTTAATTTAATAGCTTTTAGTAAAAAAATATTATTAATTAATTAAATTACACATTAGATATTATCAAATTAATTATTTTAATGATATAATAATAATAATAATAATAATAATAATAATAATCGATAACATAAAAAAGAATTATACTTTTATTGAAAAATAATTTAAAAATTAATGTAAAAGGTCTCCAACTCACTCTTTCTATTACATACTAGAAATTATTAAAAACTTCAAAACATTCCAAAAGAGAATTATTAAATAACAAATGGAACTATAAATATATTATTTTCAATAAATTTTTTATTCAATCACAAAGTTAAAGAGTATTCTTTTCATTATTTTTTTTATTCGATAAATTTTCCATTCTAATGCAAGATTAAAAAAACTAAACCACAACTTATAATATTTCTTTTATGAATTAGAGAATTCATAGAATCTATTAGTAAAAATCAAATGCAATAAAAAAAAATTATTTTCTTTTATTTCAAATTTGAAAAATAAAATTAAACTACTTCCATGCTACCATAACGAAAACCTACTTATAACATAACCAATAACCAATATCTAATTATAATATTACTTACTGAATAGGCTTCTTACATGTAGTAACAATATCATCAGGAATAATTTTTTTCCAATACCAATGTGATGTCTAGAGTTTATTCATTTGTTTGATTGGATGGGTAAAAATAATGGAATAAAAATTGTTATGATGATAATAAAATCAGCAAACATGAAGAAGAGAACAAACTTTAAATGGCAAAGTATGGTAAGGAAGGCTTAGGATTAACAAATGTGAATAACATGTTGGTTAAAACATATTTTACTTCGCACTAACCAATTTACTATTCTCATTACCAAGTATTTGTAATATATACATAAATAAAAAACAATAAAACATCATCTTGAAGTTTATTAAATAAATCATGATTTCAATAATAATATGGAAGAAAAAAATATTCTCAATAAATAATCAGATGCGATAAACATAAAATAATTTATATATTATTTATTTTATCGTATGTGTTGT